TACTTAAAATACTCTTTAAACTAATTACTGTATCCCATTCTCCCTCATACTAGATCTCAGCCTCTCTCTTTCCCTCTGATACTGCCCACAATGTAGCAATCACAACTTCCTGTTGGATGCTTTCCTCACAAGTGTTATTTCAACCGGCTGTGTCCCACCCTTAATCTTGTAAAAAATAGCCTCCTCTCTTCTGTCCCTTTTTGCAGTCCTCCCCTCACCAACTTTCCTCTGTACTTGAAATAAATGCCTGCCCTTAGTATCTCTATTCCACTGCTCCTGCCATCTCTGCACCATCACTGTCCATTTCAGGCTTTTTGCCTCTGCCTTGCTCATTGAAACTACAACATCCCCACTACTAAGTGCTTGGTTTAGCCAGTACATCAACTGCCTCGTTCCCCTCCACCCCCACATAGGCTGGGACACAAGTAAATCTTATCTGTATACCCATCTGTCTAATCGTTCCATGGGTTTGTAGTACATCATAAAGCAGGTATTGTATGCTACTTGAGCTAAAGGACTGCAGACTCATCAACACTGCACATGAATCAGAGCAATTTACTATGATTTTTTATTTCCAGAGCGTCATTACAAATGTTTTACGTCATCATGAAGCGACTTCCTCTATGAAAAGAAAAGCACCAGTGAGGAAGAGGTTCATTATAAAGATCATCTTTAAAAGAACTGACCCCTTCTCAATTATCCTAAAGGCCCATAATAATTTATGTCAAATGTTGGAAAAGGAGGATAAAATTGCCCAATAATAAAGAAATCAAAGTCAAAATAGTGAATGTGCCGAGATTCGGTTGGTTTTTCACACCCTTTCCCTTTGCCTGCAAACCGTCGCCTTGCTTGGTTTGTTCATGCATTTAAACCGGCCTAGATATAGACACCGATAGTTCATCGACTCTAACGATGGTCCTTCTTTTATTTCCTACTTCTTCTTCTTTGGTTGGGTTTATCGGAGGTTGGCATTCAACGTTGTGGTGCATTACCGCCACCTGCTCTACTGGGGTGTTGGCCAGCCCCGTTGCTCTAAAAAAATATAAAATATGTAAAACTATATCTAATTACGTTCTACTTAATATACTCTTTAAACTAATTTACTGTATCCCATTCTCCCTCATACTTGATCTCAGCCTCTCTCTTTCCTCTGATACTGCCCACAATGTAGCAATACAATGTAGCAATCACAACTTCCTGTTGGATGCTTTCCTCACAAGTGTTATTTCAACCGGCTGTGTCCCACCCTTAATCTTGTAAAAAATAGCATCCTCTCTTCTGTCCCTTTTTGCAGTCCTCCCCTCACCAACTTTCCTCTGTACTTGAAATAAATGCCTGCCCTTAGTATCTCTATTCCACTGCTCCTGCCATCTCTGCACCATCACTGTCCATATCAGGCTTTTTGCCTCTGCCTTGCTCATTGAAACTACAACATCCCCACTACTAAGTGCTTGTTTAGCCAGTACATCAACTGCCTCGTTCCCCCCCACCCCCACATTGGCTGGGACACAAGTAAATCTTATCTGTATACCCATCTGTCTAATCCTGCCATGGGTTTGTAGTACATCATAAAGCAGGTCTTGTCTGCTACTTGAGCTAAAGGACTGCAGACTCATCAACACTGCACATGAATCAGAGCAATTTACTATGATTTTTTATTTCCAGAGCGTCATTACAAATGTTTTACGTCATCATGAAGCGACTTCCTCTATGAAAAGAAAAGCACCAGTGAGGAAGAGGTTCATTATAAAGATCATCTTTAAAATAACTGACCCCTTCTCAATTATCCTAAAGGCCCATAATAATTTATGTCAAATGTTGGAAAAGGAGGATAAAATTGCCCAATAATAAAGAAATCAAAGTCAAAATAGTGAATGTGCCGAGATTCGGTTGGTTTTTCACACCCTTTCCCTTTGCCTGCAAACCGTCGCCTTGCTTGGTTTGTTCATGCATTTAAACCGGCCTAGATATAGACACCGATAGTTCATCGACTCTAACGATAGTCCTTCTTTTATTTCCTACTTCTTCTTCTTTGGTTGGGTTTATCGGAGGTTGGCATTCAACGTTGTGGTGCATTACCGCCACCTGCTCTACTGGGGTGTTGGCCAGCCCCGTTGCTCTAAAAAAATATAAAATATGTAAAACTATATCTAATTACGTTCTACTTAATATACTCTTTAAACTAATTTACTGTATTCCATTCTCCCTCATACTTGATCTCAGCCTCTCTCTTTCCTCTGATACTGCCCAGTGCCCACAATGTAGCAATACAATGTAGCAATCACAACTTCCTGTTGGATGCTTTCCTCACAAGTGTTATTTCAACCGGCTGTGTCCCACCCTTAATCTTGTAAAAAATAGCCTCCTCTCTTCTGTCCCTTTTTGCAGTCCTCCCCTCACCAACTTTCCTCTGTACTTGAAATAAATGCCTGCCCTTAGTATCTCTATTCCACTGCTCCTGCCATAACTCCACCATCACTGTCCATATCAGGCTTTTTGCCTCTGCCTTGCTCATTGAAACTACAACATCCCCACTACTAAGTGCTTGTTTAGCCAGTACATCAACTGCCTCGTTCCCCTCCACCCCCACATTGGCTGGGACACAAGTAAATCTTATCTGTATACCCATCTGTCTAATCCTGCCATGGGTTTGTAGTACATCATAAAGCAGGTCTTGTCTGCTACTTGAGCTAAAGGACTGCAGACTCATCAACACTGCACATGAATCAGAGCAATTTACTATGATTTTTTATTTCCAGAGCGTCATTACAAATGTTTTACATCATCATGAAGCGACTTCCTCTATGAAAAGAAAAGCACCAGTGAGGAAGAGGTTCATTATAAAGATCATCTTTAAAAGAACTGACCCCTTCTCAATTATCCTAAAGGCCCATAATAATTTATGTCAAATGTTGGAAAAGGAGGATAAAATTGCCCAATAATAAAGAAATCAAATTCATAAAAAATATATAAATACTTTAATAATATGCAATTAAAGATCGACTCAGCAATATGACATACAGTTGAAGTCGGAAGATTACATACACCTTAGCCAAATACATTTAAACTCCGCTAGGATCACCACTTTATTTTAAGAATGTGAAATGTCAGAATAATAGTAGAGTGATTTATTTCAGCTTTTATTTCTTTCATCTCATTCCCAGTGGGTCAGAAGTTTACATACACTCAATTAGTATTTGGTAGCATTGCCTTTAAATTGTTTAACTTGGGTCAAACGTTTTGGGTAGCCTTCCACAAGCTTCCCACAATAAGTTGGGTGAATTTTGGCCCATTCCTCCTGACAAGCTGGTGTAACTGAGTCAGGTTTGTAGGCCTCCTTGCTCTGACACACTTTTTCAGTTCTGCCCACAAATTTTCTATAGGATTGAGGTCAAGGCTTTGTGATGGCCACTCCAATACCTTGACTTTGTTGTCCTTATGCCATTTTGCCACAACTTTGGAAGTATGCTTGGGGTCATTGTCCATTTGGAAGACCCAATTGCGACCAAACTTTAACTTCCTGACTGATGTCTTGAGATGTTGCTTCAATATATCCACATAATTTTCCTTCCTCATGATGCCATCTATTTTGTGAAGTGCACCAGTCCCTCCTGCAGCAAAGCAACCCCACAGCATGATGCTGGCACCCCCGTGCTTCACGGTTGGGATGGTGTTCTTCGGCTTGCAAGCAACCCCCTTTTTCCTCCAAACATAACAATGGTCATTATGGCCAAACACTTCTATTTTTGTTTCATCAGACCAGAGGACATTTCTCCAAAAAGTAAGATCTTTGTCCCCATGTGCAGTTGCAAACCGTAGTCTGGCTTTTTATGGCAGTTTTGGAGCAGTGGCCTCTTCCTTGCTGAGCAGCCTTTCAGGTTATGTCGATATAGGACTCATTTTACTGTGGATATAGATACCTTTGTACCTGTTTCCTCCAGCATCTTCACAAGGTCCTTTGCTGTTGTTCTGGGATTGATTTGCACTTTTCGCACCAAAGTACGTTCATCTCTAGGAGACAGAACGAGTCCCCTTCCTGAGAGGTGTGACGACTGCGTGGTCCCATGGTGTTTATACTTGCGTACTATTGTTTGTACAGATGAACGTGGTACCTTCAGGCATTTGGAAATTGCTCCCAAGGATGAACAAGACTTGTGGAGGTCTACAATTTGCTTTCTGAGGTCTTGGCTGATTTCTTTTGATTTTCCCATGATGTCAAGCAAAGAGGCACTGAGTTTGAAGGTAGGCCTTGATATACATCCACAGGTACACCTCCAGTTGACTCAAATGATGTCAATTAGCCTATCAGAAGCTTCTAAAGCCATGACATCATTTTCTGTAATTTTCCAAGCTGTTCAAAGGCACAGTCAACTTAGTGTATGTAAACTTCTGACCCACTGGAATTGTGATACAGTGAATTATAAGTGAAATAATCTGTCTGTAAACAATTGTTGGACAAATTACTTGTGTCATGCACAAAGTAGATGTCCTAACCGACTTTCCAAAACTATAGTTTGTTAACAAGAAATGTGTGGAATGGTTGAAAAACAAGTTTTAATGACTCCAATCTAAGTGTATGTAAACTTCCGACTTCAACTGTTGATGCAGAAAGTAAACCGCATAGTGGGTCAATTTCAGCAACAACTAAGAGTGTTGAAGCACGAGGCTCAACTTCTCCACTGTTTTGGTCCTGTGGCTCCCACGCTGTAAGAGCGTGACGTGAACCTGTGCAAATGCGCACATACTGTGTGACTGTGTGAGAGCGAAGTCTTGCATCTCACTCATCTCAATAGCTGCGGTGCTGCTCGTGGCAACATCATTTTGCTGAGTCTACCTTTAAATAATCAAATGTAATTTCAGACATATTTTAAATGCATACATAAAAATACACACAATGTAATGCATGATTAGGCCCATTGTAATAGGTAAATAATAGAACATCTTGAAATGCATCATATTTTATTACACTATGGAAAATAGGAAAACATCAAGTGAAGAAATTAGGAAAAGTTGTCGATTTCTCTCTTCATTTCCTAAAATGAGTGAAAGGAAAATAAAATGTATGTCAAAGTATAAATCACTTATCAACATTTCAAGTCATTAAAGTGACTCACATGCACATACATCAATTAACTAACTATGCACATATTTCAATGTAGGGAATGTTTTTGGTTTCCATACTCAATGTATTTCCTACAACAAGTGACGTAAAAGAGTGATAAGTTATAAGCCACATACCTGTAAGAGCTCTGTCTTATCAAAGTTCTTGCGGTGTCTGTAGATGCTCTGACACAACATAGCATACAGCTTCTCCAGCTGATGCACCTCATAGCCCTCAGTCTTGGACACAACTCTTTTGAGCAATTCCTGGACAGTAAATTATACACAAATCAATATATGAATATAGGATGAATGAATAAGTGTTTGGCTGTGACTTGCCATGACCATATTTCTGGTGATCATAATTGTTTTCTGGACCATATTTCTGGTCTGCAACTTTCTGTGTGTAGTTCTGGTACAACTACATTGTAAGAAGCATGGTCTGACTTTATAAAAGACTGGTCAGGAGGTTACCTTGAGTTTGTCGTGGTCCACGACCAGCTGAGGGGTTTTCTGGGTCAGGATCTCCAGGGCCTTGTCCACGTCGATCAACTGCTGCTGCTGCACCAGAGTCCTGGTGGCACGGGTCAGACGCCTCTCTGTTGGAGGGAAACACAGGAAGCAATCAGGATGGTGTGAGGGAGAGCTGATAAGCAAAAGTCCCTTTAATCATTGCTGGCTGAACAGGCTATTGCTAATGCTAACACAATGGCCTATTGGTGTTGACATGCACATCTCCTAACATGCAAATTAGGTTTCTACCTGGTAACATTGGATCTCAAGCATTAAGTAGGGGGGCATGGTTTCCTATTCTAGAACTAAGTCACAGAAGAAGACACAATTACAAGCATTTGCAGTATTAATATAGTTAGATTTTCTACAACAAAGTAAACCTTTTTGCATGCGTTCATTGGCCCTCATGCGGTGGTGAACACATTTACAACCAAAGGAACTCACTCTTACAGAGTATTTAAATAAGTGGAGAGATGGATGTATCCCTTTAACTGATGTGTTGTGATGAGTTAGAGCTCCCCAACAGCTGGAGCCCCCAGAGGCCAAAGGTCAGTGAAACTGACTGAGCTGTTCCCTGAGGCCAGAAGCAGTAGCTTGCTTGCTGCCCGGGTCCGGGACCCTAATACAGACCTATGTCCCAGTCATCCTCCAACCTTTCAGGCTCTTTGGTCTTTGTGGTGTGTTTCTCTCCCTGATCTACCTCCTTTGTAGGGGTGTTGTTGACTGGACTTGGGTCACGTTCCACTGGAGGGCTGGCAGGCTGGTGGTGGTCTCCATTGACTGCCACCACCGGACCGGCTTGGATCCCAGATTGGACCTGTGTGAGGCCTGGCTGGTGTAAGTCGTCTGTGGGGTCTGGAGCTTGCTGTTGCCAGTCTCCATTGGGGATGGGAGTGGTGGTGGGCTGCTCTGTAACACAGGCCTCTTCCACATCATCGGCAGGCTTAGTGGTCTTCTCTGAGGTACACTCCATAGGGGAGTCTCCACAGCCATTCTCTAGAATAGTCTCCAAAGGCTTAGCTTGTTTTTCTTCGCCCTCCTCTATGCCATCACTTTCATCCTCTTCTTCCTCCCCTGAGTTTGTGATCTCCTTGTTGGAAGAAAAGGAAGACGTAGGTTTCTTTTTCTTTTTCTTTATGATGCCGGAGCTCCATTTGCTTTTGCGTCGTGTTTTGGGCGGTTTCTTCTTACGGGCTAGAGTACGAGCTAGGAAAATTAAATAGAGAAGAGAAGGTAATTTAACATGATAGAGAAAGGGACAGACAGAAAGACAGATGTCTCAGTATTCATGAATATCATCTTCCTCTCCTCCCTGGCTCTCAATTTCTGCTCTTGCCGGTCATCATGGTTTTCTAACTCGGTCTTGTCTTTTGACTGGTTCACTCAACTGCAACGAATCCTCCTCCTTCCTTTTCCTTTTCCTCCTCTTCCTCCTTTCAATCTGGCTACACCTACTTCTGTTCCTGTCCAGATCCTAGGGACTTCCACTTTCTTTCTATCACTCGCAACACATCTGGGAGGTATTAGTCTTCTGCCCTTAAACGTTGAAACACTGATAATAACTGCTTATGTACTGCAAATCAAGCAGTAAAAAACTAAATCCTGAGTGCTGTCCCTTGGTGGTTGACCAGTGTCTACCATCATTTCCACTGGATGTTCCTCTTCTCTGTAACAAATAAGCTACCAATAAACAGTTAAGGAGTAGAGTGGTGAGACTTACGTGCGGGCCGTGGGGTGTTGGCAGCGAACGGGGTGCTGGCGTCTTTGCCAGTGTTACCGCCTGGCCTCTTGGACTCAGCAACTCCTTCCTCTCTGGGCAAGGTCTGGTAGTAGGAGGGGGCGAACTTTGATGACGTGCACCCTGTTAGTAGACATAAACATGTCGTTAGCTTTGTCAATAAACTAAGATGTTTTAAGGAAAATAAGAGAGGGTTCATCTCATCATTGGACAAATAGTTAAAGAAGCCGACACTAGACACTGAAACTGATACAATAGCTAGCTGAACTCACATCTGGAGACAGGTTGCGCACACTTTATTTGGATAGTCCGGATTTCCATCTGTAGATGCTCTACAGATGGTCATACTATCAACAAACTATCTGTTGATAAGCAACTGCTTGCTAAGATACGGTTAGATTTAGAGTAAGGTTAAGGGTTAAGGTTAGGGTTAGTACATAGTTAGTTGAAATGTTACTGATCGTCTGTAGAGCATCTACAGATGGACTATCCAAATAAAGTGTTACTGAGAGGTTTTACCCTGTAGGCTAGGTCACTACTATAGCGTTTAAATCACAGCAATATGTCAACGTTATAAGCAGCAGCAGCAGTTACCTCTCTTGTTGCGTGACTCTCTGATCTTCTCGCAGATCCTGTTAAAGTCCTCGTCCAGTTCGTCGCTGATGATGGCGTGGGTCGTGTCCTTCAGGGCACAAGCCCGGTGACGAATCTGACGATCTGGAAACACAAAGAGATAGACATTGATGACAGAGGTACACAGTAGGGGGCCTTGTCATCCATGGGACCCACTAACTGCAGCAGAACAACGAGAACGGACCAGAATATCTTCAGAGAGATACCTAACAAAAAGTATGTAGCATACTCAGTGGAGTAAGATTAGCCTGGTCCCAGATCGGTTTGTGATGTCTTGCCAACTCCTATGGTTGTTGGCAAGACAGCGCAAACAGATCTGGAACCGGCCTCCCGAGTGGCGCAGCGGTCGAAGGCACTGCATCGCAGAGCTAGAGGCGTCACTACAGACCCGGGTTCGATCCCAGGCTGTGTCGCAGCCGGCCGCGACCGGGAGACCCATGAGGCGGCGCACAATTGGCCCAGCGTCGTCCGGGTTAGGGGAGGGTTTGGCCGGCCGGGATGTCCTTGGCTCATCGCGCTCTAGCGACTCCTTGTGGCGGGCCGGGCGCATGCACGCTGACTTCGGTCACCAGCTGTATGGTGTTTCCTCCGACACATTGGCACGGCTGGCTTCCGGGTTAAGCGAACAGTGTGTTAAGAAGCAGTGCGGCTTGGCGGGGGTCGTGTTTCGGAGGACGCATGGCTCTCGACCTTCACCTCTCCCGAGTCCGTAGGGGAGTTGCAGCGATGGGACAAGACTAACTACCAATTGGATATCACGAAAAAGGGGTAAAACGTACAAAATATTTTAAAATGAATAATATTATATTTTAAAAATGAATAATTAAAAAAGATTTGGAACCAGGCTAGAATTACACATCAGTTATAGTATAATAATAATAACAGCACTCAGTTTAATGAGATGGAGATGGTTGTAGGTATACCAGATGGGTCGCTGTCAGGGTTGTACTCCAGGGCGTTCTTCCAGATCAGGTCCACGTCGTTGACAAACTCCCTGACGGTCACGTACTTGTGGAGGTCGACCTTGGACAGTACAGTGGAGAGGTCCATGGGATGCCTGATCACCTTAATATAGTCAGGAACCTGGTGAGAGAAGAACACAAACCATTGATAAGATGGGGGACACAATACCACTCTGATAGGTTGTTTTGGATGAGAGCGTCGGTAAAGGAGAGAAGCTACAGAAATCTGAGGTGACGACAGTGCAGCCCCCCCAAGAGGCCACAGCTCACTTAGAATGTATGTACTTGTATTCAGACTTGCCAGTTAAGTATTGACTAAGTTTGGGTCAATCAACATTCAGCTTACATTAGAGTAATCTTGACTAGCACCCTGGACTACAACACCACAAAAACATATATTTCCTTCCTTGTCCCTCTCTCTTTTTCTGTGTTTTCTCCCTACCTCTTCGATGTCCACAGGCTTAGTGAAGGCCTTGAAGCGCTTGTCCTGGGAGAGGCGCTCGGTGACGTTGCGCAGGAACAGCCTCAGCTCCCTGAGTGTGTCCTCCTCCTGCTCCTCCAGACGCAGACGCTCCCTCTCACTCATCTGCCTGGGCGGAGGAGGGGGGGCAAGGGGGAGCACCTCCATGGCATGCATTACTGAGGCAGGGGGAGGGGGAGGAAGAGGGGGTAAAGAAGAAGGAGGGTTCAAATGGAGATGGGACACAAACAGCAATTATACCAAGTGATCATCAAAAGGCATAAATATCTAGTACTTACAGGCTTTCTTCTTGGAGGCGGGTGCCTTGGTAGCCTGGCTAAGGATGAGATTCTCAAAGAACTTCCTTCTCTCCTGCTGGGTGGGAATTTGGATAGCGTGCACCTCTCCGTACTCCAACCGGAACAGAGTCTGGATCTGAGAGACAAATTGTAGAATAGTTACCTCCGTGACCATTTAGGGTCTTCACCTCTACAAATAGTATTTACTGAAGTGTAAATAAAAGAATGTGGTTACGAATCTACTCATGGATTGAGTAGCCCAGTAAGGTCCAGGGATCACTTCTCTACAGTCCTTGTAGTGTAATGTATGGTGGAGGAGCCCCAGGTAAGACCTACCTCGTCGGCCAGGTCGTGGTGAGCCACGTTGCTGGTGGCCAGCAGCATGATGGGGGAGAAGGAGGGGATGTCCTGCAGCAGGCTGAGGAAGGTGGCCTTGAGGGCCGAGCCCACCGTGTCCCACCACTGCTGGATGTGGGGGATGTACAGGATGCTGGGGGAGGTCCGCTTGGCCTCGCAGAACACCTGGGGCAGGTAGGGCGAGAGGGGCTGAGAGGTCAATGAGTGTATCACTCACCAACCTAGCACTTGGGTCGGGATTCAAACTATCAGCACTGCCCCGACATCTCGCTGCATTTGACTTAGTAATTATGTGCTTGATGGAGTTAGCCTTTATACAATGAAGTCAACTCTGGGGCTATAATTCTCTGCACCACAAATGAGAGGAGCAGGTTGGTATGCATTTTAACATTTCACTTCTAAAGACTACATTAGTTCCAGCCAGTACCTGAGCACAGGCCTCCTCGGGGGAGGTGCAGCTGACTCCAAACAGCACGGCCATGTCCAGGGTGTAGACAGTGAACTTCTCCAGGGCGTGGAGCACGGCAGGGGCCAGGTGGGAGCTCTGACCCGCCCCGGGACGCCCAGCCAGCAGCAGCCTGGGCCGGTAGGTGGTGGGGTGGCAGATCGCACTCCTGGAACAGAGGCGAGTGGAGAGGTGAAGTGAATGGAGAATCAGGGATGTGATTATGAATGGAAACAACAAAAATAGGGGGGTTCTTTAAGGGCAAAATGTATTTACATATTACAGGTAGGCTATATCTTACCTGGCAAAATGGAGGAAGCTCCCTTTGGTGGTGGTCTGTTTGGTGATGGAATTATTGGACGAGGGGCCCTCATCCCCACTGTACATGAGGTCATCCTCCAGAATGCTGGCTGTCAGATCTGAGCGAAGGAAAAACTTGATCAAGTAATTGCATCAACTGAACTTAACCAATGATCCACTCTAATAGTGACCTAGCTTGGTCCCACATCTGTTTGTGCTGTATAGCCAGCATTGGCACGACATTGACCATAGAATTCGGCAAGATAGCACAAATAAATCTGGGATCAGATAACAATGGCCGTGACAAAACTGAACCCGACCCACCTGCATCCCTCTTCCTCTTGAGGCCCTGTTCGGCGTGGGGGAAGAGCTTCTGCAGTGCGTCCAGCACGTTGGTGAGGGCGGGGCCCAGCAGGGGCGTGACCACAGGGGTCAGGGCCTTGGCAGGGGACGACACAGCCCTCTGGGAGGCTGGCACCATCTTCCTCATGGCGGCCACAAAGTCCCGGCTGTTGATGTTGATGGAGCCCACGTCCAGCAGGAGCTTCTGGGACGTGCCGTAGATCTGGGGGTAGCGGCGGCGCAGCGCGCACAGGGCCGCCTCGGCGCACACCGCCTTGATGTCAGCGCCGCAGTAGCCTGGGGTCCAGAGAGGGAAGATGTTGCGGTTAATAATACGTGTGTAGGATTGACTGTGGAACTGTGTTAAATCGATAGATTAATTGTGGTGATCTGGCTGAATATTATGAGACAACAAAACGACATAGTTATTTTTGCTCTTACAATTATTGTACAATCTTGACTTGCCCAATGCTAGAGTTGATTTGGTATACATTAGTCACCTACCAACACATTTATCAGCCAACTCTTCCAGAAAAGGATAGGACGGTGTAGGATTCCACTGTCTGGTGTGAATCTTTAGGATATCTTTCCGGGACTGAAGTTGTCGACAGAAATGAAAGGTAAGTGCACGAATGAAACGTAACTGTTTGTAGGTCGCTGATGTCAAAGGAAGATTTGGATGGACATTTGAGTTATGCACGTACACATATCAACTCGAGTGAGGATTCCCCCCACAGGGGATTAGTCTTACCTCGCGATCAGGGAGGCCAAAGAGGAACTCCCTGTCGAAGCGTCCGGGGCGTCTGAGGGCGGGGTCGATGGAGTCAAGTCGGTTGGTGGCTCCGATCACCACCACCTCTCCTCGGCTATCCAGGCCATCCATCAGGGCCAGCAGGGTGGACACGATGGAGCTGCAGGAAGGAACCACGAGGTGGGAGTATTCAATGTTTAGTATGCAGGCGCAATCAATGGTAAGTCTCTGTAATCAGTGGAGCGAGAAATGATTGTGGCTGAATTGTCTCACCTGTGGATCTGGTCTTGGCGACTGGAGCGAACCGGAGCCAACCCATCGATTTCGTCAAAGAAGATAATGGCTGGCCGCATCTGGTAAGCCTGTGGGTACAAATAATTAGTCTTCCTGTCAATGCAAGTACATCCCTATATAATAGACATGACACAAACACTTTTCCAACAAGAGACCAATAGTGGCTTGAGCAGGAAATGCTGATAGATAGGCATATACTAGACTCAATGGTCTCACTAAGACTGAATGCACCAGTGATAACTATATTAATGATCTACAGTGTGTTGTCTGAGGGAATGCACTGTACCTGGTCAAAGAGCAGCCTGAGCTGGCGTTCCGACTCGCCCACCCACTTGCTCAAGCAGTCGGCCCCCTTCCTCATGAAGAAGGCCACCTTCCTCTCCCCCTGGCTGCACTCGTTGGCCAGCGCTCTGGCCACCAGGGTCTTTCCCGTACCCGGGGGACCGTAGAACAGGCAGCCCCTGAAACAGACAGGGATAGTCTTAGAATGGATCCTTGCAAAGGAATCAAATGATCAAAGAGCCAAGGATGAGTGGATGAGGCTGTGATTAGGGTTAGGGTTGGGGTGGGGCTTAAGTCCATTGACAGGATCCATTCTAGTTGCACACCCAAGTAAGTTTCTCATCCTGTTATAGGCTATTTCCTCACAATGCCATTATGGTAAGCTACCCCGAAGACAATGTAAATCAATAGTCAAAACAATTGCAAGTTAACCAACAAAGTATGTTAGCTTTTCAACCCTAAAACAAGTGCTCACCTTGGGGGCTGGATCTTGAACTTCTCAAACACCTCTGGGTAGAGCAGAGGGAAGACTACCATCTCCTTCAGGGCGGAAATGTGGCTTGTCAGACCACCAACGGTGTCAAAGCGTACCTTTGGAGGGAAGAGACGGGGTTGGATCATTACATAGAAGAGGCAGTCAGATAACTTAAAGACCATAGCATGTAGGCAAACCAACTTTGAGATGTTAGAACTTACCGACTGGTCAATCGCCATGGGGTCGACATCCGCAAGACTCGCACCGATCTTCATTCTGTCCTTATGGATTCCCCAAATGTCCTCTTTGCGCAAATTCAGAGGCAGACACCTGAGAGGGATCCCAAATGAAAGAGATTGCGGTTTTGGCAAGCTTATTCTGAGCAGAAGCTCAAATCCACACCGGATTCCACTGGTGTGAAATATTGGACCGATTTAGCTTTAAAATCCAAATAAATATATTCTGTTCCTTGTGTCAGTCTCATTCAGAGAAACTCTTGAGCTACATCATGTGTTCACTACAAAGGTCTGGCACCCAATGAAGCTCACCAAGGAGATATCACCAGAATAACCAAGATGGAACCTTCGTCTATTATTATTACATCATCGACCACCACCACCACTCATGATGTCATAGACACAGTTCAAAAACATTCAGGAGTGGGGAATCATTGGTCTGCTCACCCTGGCCCTTTTTTTTCTGGCATGTTCATTATCCTTTAAATATGATTGAATCTTGTTCAAGATAATATGTCATGGCAAATAACAGATGATCAGTAAACAAATGAAAAAATAATCAAGTAATATGTAATAAAACATTGTTTTATTCTTTATTTAGTACCACTTTCAAGGGTAGATTTCATCTGTGAACTAAATTAACATTTTATCATTATAGGGACAAGTCAAACTGTTGAAGTGTATCAAATTGGTTGCTCATGATGACATGTTCACTGACCTGTTCTTGGCTTCTTGCTCTGTGTCTTCCTCATCAGAGGAGTCTTCCTCATCAGAGGAGCTGGCTTTGTGGGTGTGCCAAGCATGCTTTCTCCTGTGGGTCAAATCAAACCATAAGGAGACAGAGAAAGGACAAACTTCTTCACTACTTTACTGTCCCCAATAACAAATGGGAGACCTAAGTTGTTTAAATTGTGCCAAAGACTCACCTGCCTATGGACCCAATCCTGTTGTTTGAAACCGTGAAAAAGAAAAGAGGAAAAACATTAAACATCACAATGAAAAGTAATCTATATTCACAAGATCCTACAAGAATAGCCCATAGTCATAGATAACCATAACCATTTATGTGGTCCTCTGTAGCTCAATTGGTAAAGCATGGCGCTTGTAACGCCAGGGTAGTGGGTTCGATCCCCGGGACCACCCATACGTAAAAATGTATGCACACATGATTGTAAGTCGCTTTGGATAAAAGCGTCTGCTAAATGGCATATTATTATTATTATAAGGACGCAACACATGAAACACAGCATTAAATGGACCCTACAATATATTTAGGTGAAAACAAAGATTTTTTGGAGTCAAAACAAATAACTGGACACAATGAAACCAATGTACTATACATATGGGCTACGACTATTGGTAAAGTGGCAGTACTGTGAAGTACAGTACTGTGGGAGGGTGAGCAACCGTGCAGACCTGCCACTCCTTCGACTGGTGGTGTGGGCACTCCTGGGTACTGAGGCACTGATGCGGTAGCTCCCTCTAGTGGAAGATGCCTGGCGGTCAAAAAACATGGGCGCCTGCTTCCTGGATTCTACAGATGAAACAGTGAGAGAGGCATATCATCATGATAAGCACTGATCTTGGCCCATAGTCAAGAATTTCAGAGTGGGAGTGCTGATCTAGAATCAGTTTTGCTTTTTAGATCAGAATATTTTTTGGTGGAGATATGCTCTGATGAAGGTCGACTGATCGAAAGCTTAGCTACCATTACTTACCATTACCATGACTTATGCAAATAAGACTTTTTCCTGTTTTTTCCTGTTTTATATTTTGCCTCCAGCACCTTTACTTATTGGTTTTGTGTGTGCGGTAGACTCTTCTTATTATATACGAGTTCATAATGAATAACATGGACAGTGGGGATCTGATCCCAATCAGCACTGCTGGCTTGTTCCACGAAATGAGTGCCTTTTGATATTTTAAGTAGAAATTGTGCACCAATATTGAATATTAAAAGCCTGTTATATTACAATTAAGTGCCCTTCAATATAGACCACATGGAGAATTTAATCAGATTTTTTATATAAATAAAGACTTGCTAAAGTGCCAAAATTCAGCATGTCCCTCCGTGCACCCTCTGCAGATTTTAACCAACTCAACCCCAAAATTCCTCCAAGCTTTCACCATAATTGGACAGCCCTAGTTATTTTGTTGCTTTGCCAAAGTCATTTCTGAAGATTATTATTTATTTAATGTGATTAGTGATTCATTTACGTCTGTCCCTCATTTTAAGGTCAACCCTGTTATGTGAACTGAACTCCCATTTTAATATGGTGAAACAATTCCTTTAAAAAAAATTTTTATAAAGAAACATTGGACATCGAATAGTCAAATCATAGTGTAAAAGTAGGTGAGCTTGTTCTACCCTTTTGACCATTTGCTGGTGTTTTGTGGTGGAAAACTGAGCGGGTCAAGCATACCACGTCAAACCTGTTACCCATAGATAGACAGGCTAGAAACACGCTTCCATTCCCCCTGTCGGAAGGGGATTTATGGCTGAGTTTAGAGGAAATCATCAACCCTTTTACGGTCAACCCTGCTACTTTATTTGGCACTTATTATAGTAAATTTTTTAGTTAACCTCTTGAGATGGGAAAACATGTTTTTTTAATGAAGTTGAACATGTGCTCTTTATGACAGAATGTGTAAATTAGATTAAATGAAGTTAATTGTTTTGTTGGACCAAGTTAAACTTCTCAAAAGGAATTGGTGGAACGACCCTGCTACGCTCATTAATTGAGATGAATAACTAAGTAAGTTACGGAGAAAAATGTCTCTGAAGACTTAGGATGTGCTTTTTACGGGATTCAAATGTAAAAAGGACCAACCATCCAGGGGGGCCTGGTAGCGAACCACTGCTTTTTTCTGTCGAGGTTCATAGCGCTTGCTGTTATCGTCGTCTTCATCATCATCGTCCTCCACATCTCCGTCGCCCTCATCATCCTCCTCTCCATCGTCATCAGAGTACTCTGGAAATAGGTATTGACCCAAAAGTTAATGAATTAATGTTTAGAGAGTTATGGTCAAACATAACATTGACCTAAACTACAATAGAAACAGACCTTCCGTTTCTTGTTTGGAAACTGCTTTTACGGTTGGACGATCAGTAGTCTTCTTTCGCTGGGATTTAAAATAGATCCTCTGAAATTCAAACAAAAACCTTCATAGATACAACTGGTATGGTACTGCCATTTCCTTTTTTCAGTGGCCTGTATGACACAATGGTACATATTTCAGTGAGACTTAAATCTCAAAAGGTATTATTGGTCATTTCCATCCACTACACTTATTTCCCATATCTCAAGGCTCTAAACCTGGGATAATTTTGTGAAATTCAAAATGACACACTGAACATTAAGAAAACCTGCTATTTCCATGATGTAGACTAACCAGGTGAATCCAGGTGAAAGCTATGATCCCTTATTGATGTCACTTGTTAAATCCACTTAAAAAGCAGTGTAGATGAAGGGGAGGAGACAGGTTAAAGAAGGGTTTTTAAGCCTTGAGACAAATGAGACACGGATTGTGTATGTGTGCCATTCAGAGGGTGAATGGGCAAGTGCCTTTGAACGGGGTATGGTAGTAGGTGCCAGGCACAGCGGTTTGTCAAGAACTGCAACTCTGCTGGGTTTTTCACGCTTAACAGTTTCCCATGTGTATCAAGAATGGTCCACCACCCAAAGGACATCCAGACAACTTGACACAACTGTGGGAAACATTGGAATCAACACGGGCCAACATCCCTGTGGAACGCTTTCGACACCTTGTAGAGTTTTTTCAGTTAGCTGCTGGTGAATGAGGCAACAATATGACAACAGTGTGATTACTGTTCCTAAAACTACAGCAGAGGGCTGCTGAGGGCGGAGAGAGAGAGAGCGAGAGAGAGATAGAGGGTGGTGGACCACAGATGGGTGCAACACCCTTACAATGGCTGATAAGAGATTGTGTACGGCAGCAGAAGATACAGAGCCTAGAAACAGTGGCCAGTTATTATGTAAACACATTTCTACAGTGGAACAAGCCCTTGTGTTTGGGTAGAGTTAGTGTGAGTCTTCAATGCCAATCTCAAAGGGGGAGCATGTCAATGAATGGTTTCTTATTGTTTGCTAATTATACAGCATAAATATATAGCCCTGTATTGTATTTCATCCCTGGCTTTGTGGATGGCTGAATTACAAAATTATATTTCACGGAATGGAAAAAGCCTCACTGCTTGTTTGGAGTTTTTCATGTGGTGGCACATCTTCTTCATGTCATCAATCTTGTGGAGGACTGCCTCAGCAGTGCTATGGAGAAAAACAAGTAACAGTATAAAAACTTCTGATAGCATCCTTATTTAGCATGATTTCATGGAGGTTTTGGGTCCCAATGCAATAAGCTAAAAAATTGTGTACTTATCATTTTTGGGGAAAAGCAGAGGAATTAGTAATATGCCAATAATAACCCTCATACTCCCTGTATTATGACTATCCCCCATGTTACACACTCTACTGGGGAAGTAAACAAGAGACTTGGGAGCAACGACACACGGGGGTTCAGGGTTATGTGGTGATGCTCCTTACTTAGTGATGAGGCGGTCGTAAATCATGGACTGTTGGTATCTGGTGGTTCTGGTGCTGCGTCGCACAATCCCCTGGGATCCTTCTGGTCTAGGGGACCCCTCTGGAACAGGTATTCAAAACATAATTCATGACTTATCCACAATTCCATGTAGGTAAATGAGTCTGTGAATGAGAATTATTGTTTAAAAGGAGTAAATTGTGTGACATCCTCTTAAAAGTGTTTTGTAGTTGGGTGTGTTTTTTATGACATGCATGTCTAAATAGGTGAATTGTTACGTTCTAGGAAAGACCTAGATCTTGTTTGCATCATAATGTGAAACATGCTTTAGGCTTACCAGTTTGGTCAACTTCACTGGCCCCATTGACCTGAAACCTGGGCGATTTCCTGTGAAGGAATAAAAAAATCACTTTTAAAAAATTACATTAAAATATAATATAATAATAATATAATATGCCATTAAGCAGACGCTTTTATCCAAAGCGACTTATAGTCATGCGTGCATACATTTTTGCGTATAGGTGGTCCCGGGAATCTAACCCACTACCCTGGCGTTACAAGCGCCATGCTCTACCAATTGAGCTACAGAGGACCACAAAATAATTGAAGAATGCTTGATGGTATCCGAATCAATGTGGTCTGTAGGACTAGCCTGGGTACCAGCATGTTCAGCTAACATTCCACTCCTTGTAATCCAGCAAAAACACAGAGTAGGCCTACAAGGAGTGGAAAGTTAGATAAACAGACTGGGACCCAGGCTACTGACAACCGACAAAGATGCATCTTGGCTTTATATCTGGCTTATGGATAGAAACATTAGCCTACCATATGCCACAATGTATATCTACTACATCTCTAATATTTAATTAATGAGAACTGACTTACCTTGTTATCTTTCTGACAGGTCTCCCATTCTCTGGTGTTTGCCCATTTAGCTCTTCCAACGGGATAATATGCCGATCATTCTGACCAACATATCCCTGAGAAAGAGAACAGCAGAACTCAAATATAAATGTATTGGTCAACCTTGAAGGCATTGACGATCAATTGTCTTCCATCTGTTGAATATAAGTGAAGTTTGTTTTGACACAAAGTTTAGAAATGTTCTGCATAGCTAATTTCAAAATCGGTGACATTATTTACAGATTGTGCAAACAGCAGAGGTTACTGACAATGTTTTCAAATGATGACACCGTAGAACGTTGTTTGTTCACGCACTGACTGTCAATTGTTCAACTCACGTTAGTCAAGCGTGCGGACTTTCTCGGTGAAGTCTGCAGGGATGGAAAGTCGGCATCTGGTTGTGAAAACTGAAGTGTTGATTGGTCTGCTTCCGATATTCTCCGTATTATCACCATCGTGTTGAATTAACTGCGCGTTTAATGAGTTTACTAGCTAATACTACGGTCAATTATTCACAATTGCAATGTTAACAATGGTATGTATCGATCTAGCTATCTCCATATAATTGCGGATTGTGAACGACCTCCTAGCAAACCTGAGCTGTCAAAACTACTGTGTGTGTATAATTTCAAAACACAGTATTCTGGCACCACTCACGTCACAGATCGTATGCGTGACTGCGTTCGTTTTACATCACCCAGGGTGGAAAGGATATGGGGATTCTGTTGCAAAAACATTTTTCAACGGAAGCAAACGAAACGAAACGGGGAGAGACTGACCTGAATTTGACCAATAGAAACTCTCGTTTTAGTTGCAAACGTTCAACTGGACTAATGATTACACCCCAGGAGTCTACTGTATGGCAAGCTATATCATATTGTTATGTAGTGCAGATCCCGCCTATCTTGATACAGGTATGATTGATGTCTTACTGGCCAATCAGATGAGAGCTCTGTGCTTATATTGTTTGCACGTTGGTTTGCGCGTCAAGTATGGCCCCGGCACGGAACATAGCTAGTCAGTCTGTGTGGTATGACAAGTTCTTAATAAACAGCACAAAAGAGAGAAGGTTGTTGTATCCTTCTGCCCACGCCACCATCCACCAATGAGGAGTTGCCCAGAACAGACGAAGAACATCAATTCATTACAGTTAAGCTAACGTTAGCTAGCTAACGGTGGTGAGGCAGACAAGCTAGCTCAGTGGTTCCTAAACTAGGGGTTGCGACCCTATGTGGGGTCGCCTGATATGAAAGTGGGGTCTTGGGAGAATTTCCACAATCCTGGTAAAAACATAAAATATTATATTATAATATCGTCTTTGTCTCTCATTGTAATGTGCTTAACCTTCAAAATTGAAATGAAAAGTATTCAAATCGAAGTTCAAATTCAACCAGAGCGCCCTTAGATCATGGGAAAAGGCCGAACTTGAATAATTCCCACGGTGAATGGCTCAGCCCGCTACGCTTTGAAACCACACACGTTGATATTACCGGCCGCAATTGATATGGTGAAAACAATATGTGGGGAGGCAGAGGCACAGAAACTCACATCAATACCTTTGTCAGATAACACTGTGAAACTAAGAATTTAGCTAGCAATCAAGAGGAAACTGACTGAACGAATCAAAAACTCCCCACCTTATGCTCTCCAAATGGACGTAGGCTGTGAGGCCCAAGATGCCCATGCATTGACTTTTGTTCGCTACATGTCAAGGGATGCTATTCACAAGGACATATTGTTCTGTCTCACGATTCTCGAGCATGAAATGGCACAGGGGATGTTCAGTGTGCTGCATACAGTGGGGAAAAAAAGTATTTAGTCAGCCACCAATTGTGCAAGTTCTCCCACTTAAAAAGATGAGAGAGGCCTGTAATTTTCATCATAGGTACATGTCAACTATGACAGACAAATTGAGAAAAAGAAATCCAGAAAATCACATTGTAGGATTTTTTATGAATTTATTTACAAATTATGGTGGAAAATAAGTATTTGGTCACCTACAAACAAGCAAGATTTCTGGCTCTCACAGACCTGTAACTTCTTCTTTAAGAGGCTCCTCTGTCCTCCACTCATTACCTGTATTAATGGCACCTGTTTGAACTTGTTATCAGTATAAAAGACACCTGTCCACAACCTCAAACAGTCACACTCCAAACTCCACTATGGCCAAGACCAAAGAGCTGTCAAAGGACACCAGAAACAAAATTGTAGACCTGCACCAGGCTGGGAAGACTGAATCTGCAATAGGTAAGCAGCTTGGTTTGAAGAAATCAACTGTGGGAGCAATTATTAGGAAATGGAAGACATACAAGACCACTGATAATCTCCCTCGATCTGGGGCTCCACGCAAGATCTCACCCCGTGGGGTCAAAATGATCACAAGAACGGTGAGCAAAAATCCCAGAACCACACGGGGGGACCTAGTGAATGACCTGCAGAGAGCTGGGACCAAAGTAACAAAGCCTACCATCAGTAACACACTACGCCGCCAGGGACTCAAATCCTGAGTGTCCCCCTGCTTAAGCCAGTACATGTCCAGGCCCGTCTGAAGTTTGCTAGAGTGCATTTGGATGATCCAGAAGAGGATTGGGAGAATGTCATATGGTCAGATGAAACCAAAATATAACTTTTTGGTAAAAACTCAACTCGTCGTGTTTGGAGGACAAAGAATGCTGAGTTGCATCCAAAGAACACCATACCTACTGTGAAGCATGGGGGTGGAAACAGCATGCTTTGGGGCTGTTTCTCTGCAAAGGGACCAGGACGACTGATCCGTGTAAAGGAAAGAATGAATGGGGCCATGTATCGTGAGATTTTGAGTGAAAACCTCCTTCCATCAGCAAGGGCATTGAAGATGAAACGTGGCTGGGTCTTTCAGCATGACAATGATCCCAAACACACCGCCCGGGCAACGAAGGAGTGGCTTCGTAAGAAGCATTTCAAGGTCCTGGAGTGGCCTAGCCAGTCTCCAGATCTCAACCCCATAGAAAATCTTTGGAGGGAGTTGAAAGTCTGTGTTGCCCAGCGACAGCCCCAAAACATCACTGCTCTAGAGGAGATATGCATGGAGGAATGGGCCAAAATACCAGCAACAGCGTGTGAAAACCTTGTGAAGACTTACAGAAAACGTTTGACCTGTGTCATTGCCAACAAAGGGTATATAACAAAGTATTGAGAAACTTTTGTTATTGACCAAATACTTATTTTCCACCATAATTTGCAAATAAATTCAGTAAAAATCCTACAATGTGATTTTCTGGATTTTTTTTTCTCATTTTGTCTGTCATAGTTGACGTGTACCTATGATGAAAATTACAGGCCTCTCTCATCTTTTTAAGTGGGAGAACATGCACAATTGGTGGCTGACTAAATACTTTTTTCCCCCACTGTAGCTATATTGACGAAAAACAGATTCCATGGGATCGAATGGTGGGCTTTTGAACATATGGGGCTCCATCTATCACAGGACGGCAGGCTGGCCTCTGAAATCTAGTTATGAATGTGTCTCCCTCTGCCATATGGACGCATTCTATGATACACCCACTGAGCTATAATGGATACACCGAGAGTAACTGGCGGCAAAAGAGCTGAGTGCAGAACTCTGAGAGGTAACTTTGATTGTAGGCTAAAATACTATACATCGCGCACGCCTGTTTGCAAAAGTATGTGGAGCAGTGGAGGCTCCTCAGAGGAGGAAGGGGGGGAACATCCTCCTCAGTGAAACAATTATAATAATTGTAAAACATAAAAAAAAGTTATCCTTTTTAGATAAAACTATACTAAATATAATCACGTCACCAAATAATTGATTAAACTATTTTGCAATGAAGGTCTACAGTAGCCTCTACAGCACTCTGTAGGGTAGCGCCATTGTATAGCCGGAGGACAGCTAGCTTCCGTCCTCCTCTGGGTACATTGACTTCAATACAAAACCTAGGAGGCTCATGGTTCTCACCCCCTTCTATAGACTTACACAGTAATTATGACAACTTCCGGAGGACGTCCTCCAACCTATTAGAGCTCTTGCAGCATGAACTGACATGTTGTCCACCCAATCAAAGGATCAGAGAATGAATAGAGTACTGAAAGCATAAGATAGAGTAGTTGACTCAAAGAGAAAGACAATAGTTTAACAGTTTTGAACAAATTAATTTCTTCCAAAATGAAGGAGAAGCAAGAGAGAGATTGTCATATAATTTTTTACTTTCAGTTTCACTTACTTAGCTAGCTAGTTTAGCCTACTCAAACACCCTGCTCAAACAGAGGGATGCTATGTTAGCTAGCTGGCTATGACTATCCAACACAACACTAGAACTCTTCCAAGTCAAGGTAAGCTTTGGTTTGACTAATTTATTGCCACCGGGGCCCGCCGGTGTAAGTGCTAAACTGCTTACTGACTGTACACTGTAATGTTACTGCATGATTGGAGCAGGTTTACTAATGCGTTAGTTCTATTAGCTATGTTGACTATGCCGTTATTTTAGCTAATATGGTGACAACGATGTAGGCTGTGTGTAGCAGTTATGATATGGTTTGGCTTGGAATGGTTATCTCGCCTGGTCATATACAGCTGACGTGTTGTGCATTGACGTCCACAAGCGACAAAGGGAAAAGGTGAGAAGAGGAGAGCGCATAGATGCGAGAAGGAATACAACGTGGCTGTTATGAAAGTGAACTGTGTTTACGTGTGATCAGGGGTGTATTCATTCTGCCTATTCTGTTGAAGAAAAATCTTAAACGGAACATAACGGGGATAAACATACCTGCTTTTGTCCAATAGAAACTCTAGTTTGCAACTGTTGGACTAATGATTACACCCTATTTCAGCTGGATGCAGGCAAGTGTGCAAGGCGGTATTGAATGTGTCACTGTCTGTCACCTCAAATTGTTCTCTCGACCAGTGTGCGCCTACATTGTAAACGTTCAATCATAGGCTAGGTTGTAGCAACCTCATGATGGGTATAGGGAAAATTTGAGTATCATATAGTAGCCTAAACCTATCGCTGTTACATTTAACTGGGTGAATGGAATATGAATGAGTCATCCAATATGCTGTAATAGACATAAGGCCGAGCTCATGAAAAAAAAAAATTGTCCTCCCTCATCTTAAAACAGCACTGACCGCCACTGATGTGGAATCATAGCATGACAATGGGGGAGTGTTGGAAAGATTTTTGGAATTGAGAGAGGAGCTGTTGTTATTCGCAATAGATGTAAAAAAACAGACTTTGTTGACTTTCTGTGTAATGAAAATAAAATGTACCCTTGCCTATGTAACAGACATATTTGGGAAACTGAACGCAAGCATGCAAGGGAAATACAAAAACATTCTACAAATGAGTGACCGAATCAGCTAAATCTGATCAGCAAAATGTTTGACTGTGATCCTGGCTTAGTTGACATGCCGGTAAGTGAAATCCAACAGCTGATCGAGCTGTCATGTGACCGAATGCTGCAGACAACACATTCATGGGTCACACTTTTGGTTCCTGACTCAAAGGGAATATTCAGTGCTCTCATCTGCATTAAAAACAAATATCGATCCAGGTTGGATGTGACATGAGAGATGAGGTGCGCACTGCATCCTTCATGGGGGACAACATGTTTACTGTTGCCTTGTTTCCTTATTGATTTATCTGCTAAAAATTAAAATAAATACTTTTTGTATTAGCATATTTCAAAAAGAATTCACATGATCATATATTCATATCATAAGAATACAATTATTTGTCATAAACATAATTATTTCCAACACATTTCCAAACCAGAATAGTAATGATTTCAACATTATATAATTGCAGTGAGTATTTCAATCAAAATAAGAATATTCATCATCATAATATAACATTTACATTTTTTTCCCAGGCACTTGTCATCTCCCGTCTGGATTACTGCAACTCGCTGTTGGCTGGGCTCCCTGCCTGTGCCATTAAACCCCTACAACTCATCCAGAACGCCGCAGCCTGTCTGGTGTTCAACCTTCCCAAGTTCTCTCACGTCACCCCGCTCCTCCGCACACTCCACTGGCTTCCAGTTGAAGCTCGCATCTGCTACAAGACCATGGTGCTTGCCTACGGAGCTGTGAGGGGAACGGCACCTCCGTACCTTCAGGCTCTGATCAGTCCCTACACCCAAACGAGGGCATTGTGTTCATCCACCTCTGGCCTGCTGGCCCCCCTACCTCTGCGGAAGCACAGTTCCCGCTCAGCCCAGTCAAAACTGTTCGCTGCTCTGGCACCCCAATGGTGGAACAAGCTCCCTCACGACGCCAGGACAGCGGAGTCACTCACCACCTTCCGGAGACACTTGAAACCCCACCTCTTTAAGGAATACCTGGGATAGGATAAAGTAATCCTTCTACCCCCCCAAAAAAATAATAATAATAATTGTAAAGTGTTTGTTCCACTGGCTATCATAAGGTGAATGCACCAATTTGTAAGTCGCTCTGGATAAGAGCGTCTGCTAAATGACGAAAATTTAAATGTAATAACATAAAACCTATTAGTCATCATTCTCATAATTCTTAAACCATAATTAACTCCAAAGCATTTACAAAATATATCCACCATAATTTAATGATTAAATCATTTCAATGCATATCCAAACAGCATGAATGATCCAGTGTGGCAATGCTTTCCTAAGAGTTTTGTCCACATCCTGCCTTTTTATTCCCATCTTCTGACAGATGTCTGTGTCCTCATTGTCTTTCTCCATTCAGTTTTGATCCTGTTTGTTATTTGTGGACTTTATCCACATGCTTCAGCAGGTCAGAATTTTCAGCGAATCTTCTACCACACACAGAACAGCCATGCTGTTTCTCACCTGTGTGAGTCAGCATATGCCTGTTCAGGTGTGTTTTTCGACTGAAGTTTTTTCCGCAGTTACCACAGCTAAATGGTTTCTCTCCTGTGTGAGTCCGTAAATGTTGGTTTAGGTTCCCCTTCTGATAGAAGCTTTTCCCGCAGTATCCACAGATAAATGGTTTCTCTCCTTTATGAGTCTGTATATGCACGTTCAGCAGCCCCTTGCTATAGAAGCTTTTTCCGCAGTCACCACAGCTAAATGGCCTCTCCCGTGTATGAATCCTCATGTGCTGGGATAGATGTTCTTTGTTTTTAAAGGTCTTGCCACAAACAGGGCAGGGTTTCCCACTGTGACAGAGTGGGACATTGGCCTTCAGTTTACCTGTGGAGTTGTAGGGGCATTCAATGGGTCTCTCCCTGGCAAGAGTCACATGCCTCTGAAGGTCAGCTTTCAGAGCAAATACTTTGCCGCAGTCACAGCAGTAGTGAGATTTTTTAGACATGGTGCTGAGTTTAGAACAGTGTGCCCCCAATGGTGGTTTGGGATCCAATGGTGGCCTGTTTACTTGGTCACTAATTACAGCTGAGCTGTGGCCGAAGGCCTCACTTTTCACACAGGGACCACTAAATATAAACTCTATGGTATTACCCTCCAACCCTTGAAACTGCTTTTCCTCCTGGCTGGTCCTCAGTTCCTCCTGTTCCTCTTTAATCTGTGAGGGCGCTGGTTCCTCCTGTCCCCGACTGGGGCACCACTCCTGTTCACAGTGTTGTTGCTCAAGGGGAACCTCTTCAGAGACAGGGAGAGAGAGCTGCTGGGAGTCTGGAGGGAAGAAAAGACAGGCGCAGACATGCCCGAGTACACAAGATTTTCGCGACATCGACAAAATAATCATGCATGGTGAAAGTTAAACTAAAACGTTGAAATGTTAATCACTGTTACAGCCTAAACAGTATATTAATTGAGTAGATGAGATCTACACACAAACCTGTTCTACGTTGTTCTATCTCCGGTGTAATCCTCAACTGTCTCCGTAGATGATCAATCTCCTCTTTAGATCGGGAGATCTCCTCCTGGTACTCAGCTACTACTTTCTCAATTGCCCCCAAAATCTCCACTGCCGCCGCCGTTAAACACTCAGAAAGAAACGAATTCAAATACTGTAATTTAGACATTTTTAGTAGACTTATAGTAGTCATATTATTATTGTCAAAAGACCCTCTTCCTCTCTGGTTTTATTCACCTAATTAGTCTAGAAATCGTCCACGAAGAAGGAATGTTAAAAAAAAACCAAACTCGCTCTCCCCGTTCTACATCCGTGTTGTCTTCATCTTATATTCTTATGACTGGGTATGGCGAACCCAGAAACAAAAGTTGTCGCCCCCTGGTGGATCGGGTTTTACTACAGATAACCACATAGAGGGCAAAAAGTAATGTTGTAACAGGGTGATAATTGTTTTAATAAGAGAGAACAGGGTAAGAAAAAGTTATGTTACCTCCCTATTGATGAGATTATGTATTTTGTTTTCATGATACAATCTTGTGTATATATTTTGTTTTCATCAAGAGGGCCAAAATTGAAATATATTTTTAAAATGTTAAATATGTTTTTAAAAGTTGTCTTCCTCAATTTTTTTAAATGCATTGTATCCACATGTGGTTGTATTGTTTTTAAATGGTTAAATAAATCAAATGTCAAATAAATCAAACAAATAAAGTATGATATTTTTTTTGCATTAACTTGGATGGATGTTTATCAGAAGCAATTAAAATGAATATAATCGAATTGGGACTGAACAACTGCAGTGCACATGCATAGAAAAATAGTTTGCACTTTACAGAAGTCTATTGTATATCATGAATGAGCATTAGGTGAAAATGGAAGAGAAATACTCTTAAACAAATACAAGCAGACCTCTTCTGGAATGTATATAATATTCTTTAATGTTATCAATAACATCAGTCTGACCATTTTCTCATCACCCTGAGAGACATTCCAAAACATTTGACCAGGAATCGTTCATTGGCTAATGTTGTGCGAGTCAGTATCGTCAGGGGCCCCTTGTGATTGAAGCTTTTCTGCAGTCACCACAGCAAAAAAAAAAATATTGTGTGAATCCGTATATGTTGGGTTAGGTTCCCCTTCCGATTTAAGCTTTATCTGCAGTCACCACAGCTTAATGATTTCTCTCCTGGACCCAGTTCTCATTTGCAATAACTGCCTGGCCAAGTTGCCAAAACACAGCAATGCACTACAATAAAAAGAGACACATGGACAATGCAATAGGTAAAAAAGTTCAAACATATGTGCTAATGTTATGAGAAAACCATGAAATTATGTGGCATAAATAGTGAGTTTCTCACTGCTGCTGCCTGCGCATTGTCTCCAACCACTCCTCTTTGGAGAGAGTCTCTGCTTGTGGGCAGTAAACAGTCCCTTTACATTGGCCGTGCCCAGTCTGCTTGGTTCTGAACTGCCCACATTTTTGGCATGTGTTGCTACTGACTTTCCTTTTGTAGACACAGTGCTTTCTGTGGGTGGGTATGGTCACGGATGAAGCTGTTGTGGTAACAGTGAGTGTTGTCTGGAACGTCACCTGGGGAACAAATTGCATGAAGCACTGTCAAGAGACAGATGGGACTTGAACAACCAGACCACCACTGGTGCCACAGACAGCTGGTGCTTTGGTGAATAGCTGCCTCTGTGCAGGTATCTTTGGCATGATCAGAGGTGGTCCAACCAGTGCCCGGCGTTTAGTTTTGGCTGGCCCTGCTGTGTTCGGAGGTAGTTGATGTACATACTCTTCTTGGTTGTACTGAAGAGCTGCAGCAGGGCGGGTTTTTGCAGGCTGACAGTGTGGGACATGGGCCTTCAGTTGACAGGTGGAATTGTAGCAGTTTTTGCAGAAGGGGCATTCGCTGGGTTTCTCCCTTGCAAGAGTGACATGTCTCTGTAGGCCAGCTTTCAGAGCAAATGCTTCGCCACAGTCACAGCAGCAGTGAGATTTTTTAGACGTGGTGCTACATTCTGAACAGTGTTCTCCCACTGGTGGATCGGGATCCAATGGTGCACTGCTGTAAAGTCCTACTGAGTCGCTGCTTATGTCTGAGCTGCAACTGGAGGAATTGTTTAGATTATCTGGAGGGTCACAGGGAATGTCGAAACACTTTAGGTGGGTGACAGCGCCAAAATATTTTAGATCCACTAGTTTAGACTCTCTCTGTTCTCCACAGTCTGGGTTTTGGGAAGAGATGAGGACTGAAGTGGATCCTCCTGATCCCATTCACTTTTCACACAGCGAGAAATGCACATGAACTCTTCTTGCCCTTGAAGCTGCACTTCCTCAGGGCTAGTCATGAGTTCCTCCTGTTCCTCTTTAATCTGTGTGGGCTCTGGGTCCTGCCCCATACTGGAGCACCACTCTTACTCACAGTGCTGCTGCTGCTCAGGGGGAACCTCCTATTCAGAGACGGGGAGAGAGAGCTGCTGGGAGTCTGGAGGGAAGAAGAGATAAGCTGAGTTCTAGCTAGCTAAAGCCTTTAGACATGTCTAAGTAGCTACAAGGTTTTCGCTATACAACTAGCTAGCTATTTAATCATGCATGGTGAAAGATAACTTAAAAGTTGCTGAAAAGTGAATCGATGTTAGCCCGCCCTAAACAGTGAATTAATTGAGTAGATAATATCTACATAGCTACGAACCTATTGTACTTCGTTTTAACTCCGGTGTGATCCATAGCAGTCTCCGTAGCCGATCATTCTCCTCTTTAGATCGGGAGATCTCCTCCTGGTACTCATCTAGCACTTTCTCAACTGCCCGAAAAATCTCCACGGTCACCGCCGTTAAACGCTCAGAAAGAAACGCATTCAAAGACTGTAATTTAGACATTTTTTGTGGTTATTCACCCCCTTGAGTGTTTGGCTTCGTCCACGAGGAAAGAATGTTCAAAACCAAAACAAACTCCCTTCCGTGTTGTTGTTGTTCTTCTTCGTCGTCGGCTGCTTCTTCTATGATATAATGGCGGTCCGCAAACAAACGTTAAAAGTGCATGCCGCCACCTACTGTGCTGGAGTGTGTGGTCAATCACGGTTTACAACATTAGTTCCACATTTCTAAATCCCCCTACCTAACTCAGTACTTCTGAGAAAATAAAAAACAGCCCTACTAACTTCTAATAGACCCTCCCCCATCCCCCCCACACACTTAAATCTTTCACTCTCTTCAACATACTTACAACAATATAACAACACATGCTCCACCGTTTCATCGACCAGACACAAACCAGTCACATGCTTGTCAACCAGATTTAATGATGTCCTAGGTGCAATCGAGCAAACACCACCCCTTCCTTCCGAATCTGACCTTTGAATCTTGGTCCACCAACATTTCTTTGGAGGGCATATAAATGTCAGCCCTTGGGCTCAGAGTCCCATCTCTTCTGCCACATATCTATCAAAATTGCTCTGATCTTACATTTGTCCTCACCTCTACCCAGTAGAACATTATCAATTATATCTCATTCTAAAGTTATTTTGGCTAACTGGTCAACAATTTAATTCCCTTCCACACCCGAATGGGCTGGGACCCAGCAGAATCTCACTACTACACCCAGTCTCACAATTCTCCATAATAATATGAATGCCTCCAATAGTAGGTCACTCCTATTAGATTTGCCAGATGATAAACTATTAAATACAGACAGGGAATCTGAGCATACTTTATTTCTGGCAGGTTGTACGTCCTCCACCCACTGGAGGGCAGCTACTATCGCCAACAGTTCAACTCAGTATACTGACAGTTCATCTGTTAGTCTAATACATTTGCACATCAAATTCTGGAAAGTAAACACCTGCTCCTGTGCACCCACTATCTAGGTCCATGGATCTATCTGTGAAAAGCGGTAAAAATGCATAAAAACGTTTAATGTAATTGTCAACCAGTTTCCCTATATCACTGACTTCTGACCAATCTTTCCTTTTCGCTGGATCTGGGAGGAACCATGGAGGAACATCCCTATCTAATTCCATGTTGTCTTCTTCTTACGCTCTTATCAGTATGGTGAGCCCAGAAAAACAAATGAGCGCCTCTGGGTGGATAGGGTTTTACTCCAAGGGACAGACCCGTGAGTGGTAAAGGGATAAGATGTGGGCAGAGAGGAACAGTTGGGGTGGGTAAATAGTAGTTATCCAAAATTATAGGGTCATCTGGGATGATCAAATAAAATTGTATTTGCCACATGTGTAGACATTACCGTGAAATGCTTACTTACAGCCCTTAACCAACAATGCATTTATTTCTTAATAAAAAGTAAAATAAAACAACAACAACAAAAAAGTGTTGAGAAAAAAAGAGCAGAAGTAAAATAAAATAACAGTAGGGAGGCTATATACAGGGTGGTACCGGTGCAGAGTCAATGTGCGGGGGCACCGGCTAGTTGAGGTAGTTGAGGTAATATGTACATGTGGGTAGAGTTAAAGTGACTATGCATAAATAATTAACAGTGTAGCAGCAGCGTAAAAAGATGGGGTGGGGGTGAACTAAAATAACACACTATAGATGGATCTAGATCAGAGAATGTCGTTACCAGGAGCAGCTGCAGTGATGTACTACTGAATATTGTAGGCCTACAGTATGGGATGTGCCTTTCAAAGAACGATGTTTTTATTTCATGTTTAAATTATAAAAATACTTTTTTTTATTTGATGTATTTATTTACCATCATCAAATCATCTGATTTACTTTCACATTTGAACAGCACAATGCAATTTAATGAAATTTGTTGAAAACCGAAATCAGGTCAAAAAAATATAGAAGAAACAAACCCATCCCATTTTTTTTGCTAAATCAAATGACGTTATTATTACATTGTTACTTGATGTATGAGTCAAAGGCTCCTATGAAATCCTTCATATGTCATTTATTGGGTCTTCGTTTTTAAATGCCTTACTATGATTATGTAGCGACAAATCCCCTTAAATTCAGGTGGTAAAATAACCATAAAGAAGCCCATTCTGTTGAGGTATAAAAAAGGTAAATCAGCAATATACACCCAAGATCTGATAGACCATACTCCATTATACCTACGTGTTTTGTTTAATTTCAGTAGCTACTTCAGTAGTTAAAGTAGTAGTGATTGTAACAGCCTATGTTTTTTGTTTCATTTCAGTAGATACTTCAGTAGTTGAAGTAGTAGTGATTGTAACAGTAGCAGAGGTAGTAAATTAAGCAACAGTAACATTTTCTCAAATAGAAGGAACTGTATGATTACCTTTTAGTCATTACTAAGTTACCTGGAACTTAGTGCAGTGTGATCAATCTCTTTGATTTCACATTGTGGGATAATTATGGTCTTCCAGAGGAAAATAATCATGTTGAATTCATATAGTGAAAGAATCCATGGTAATGGAATTTCCCTTAAATTCTTTGTTCAATTCTATATTATTTTTCTATACTATGCTAGCCTGATGGTCCAGTCTGTCTGTGATTTAGCCAACTCCTATCTGTATTCGCTCATCGTCATGCCCCTTTAAAATTTCATTTGGAAAACTAATGTCTACAGTATATATTGTAAACATATCCCTCTTTTTATTTATTTATTTATTTCACCTTTATTTAACCAGGTAAGCCAGTTGAGAACAAGTTCTCATTTACAACTGCGACCTGGCCAAGATAAAGCAAAGTAGTGCGATAAAAACAACAACACAGAGTTACATATGGGGTAAAAAAAACATAAAGTCAAAAAGAAATAAAACAGAAAATATATATACAGTGTTTGCAAATGTAGCAAGTTATGGAGGTAAGGCAATAAATAGGCTATAGTGCAAAAATAATTACAATTAGTATTAACACTGGAATGCTAGATGTGCAAGAGATGATGTGCAAATAGAGATACTGGGGTGCAAAAGAGCAAAATAAATAACAATATAGGGATGAGGTAGTTGGGTAGGCTAATTTCAGATGGGCTGTGTACAGGTGCAGTGATCGGTAAAGTGCTCTGACAACTGATGCTTAAAGTTAGTGAGGGAGATAAGAGTCTCCAGCTTCAGAGATTTTTGCAATTCGTTCCAGTCATTGGCAGCAGAGAACTGGAAGGAATGGCGGCCAAAGGAGGTGTTGGCTTTGGGGATGACCAGTGAGATATACCTGCTGGAGCGCAGACTACGGGTGGGTGCTGCTATGGTGACCAATGAGCTAAGATAAGGCGGGGATTTGCCTAGCAGTGATTTATAGATGGCCTGGAGCCAGTGGGTTTGACGACGAACATGTAGTGAGGACCAGCCAACAAGAGCGTACAGGTCACAGTGGTGGGTAGTGTATGGGGCTTTGGAGACAAAACGGATGGCATTGTGATAGACTACATCCAATTTGCTGAGTAGAGTGTTGGAGGCTATTTTGTAAATGACATCGCCGAAGTCAAGGATCGGTAGGATAGTCAGTTTTACGAGGGCATGTTTGGCAGCATGAGTGAAGGAGGCTTTGTTGCGGAATAGGAAGCCGATTCTAGATTTAACTTTGGATTGGAGATTCTTAATGTGAGTCTGGAAGGAGAGTTTACAGTCTAACCAGACACCTAGGTATTTGTAGTTGTCCACATACTCTAGGTCAGACCCGTCGAGAGTAGTGATTCTAGTCGGGTGGGCGGGTGCCAGCAGCGTTCGATTGAAGAGCATGCATTTAGTTTTACTAGTGTTTAAGAGCAGTTGGAGGCTACTGAAGGAGTGTTGTATGGCATTGAAGCTTGTTTGGAGGTTTGTTAACACAGTGTCCAATGAAGGGCCAGATGTATACAAAATGGTGTCGTCTGCGTAGAGGTGGATCTGAGAGTCACCAGCAGCAAGAGCGACATCATTGATATACACAGAGAGTTGTACCAAATAGTTACAAGACAACGTTCTAACAGTCACACTTTTGCAAATGCTTATGCAGTATAAGTGCAGTACATACATCACATGATGTATAATAGGATATTTATAATAGAATGTAAAATATAATAGTATGATATAGTAGGATCATGTAAGGATCTTTAACTATCCAGAATATAAATGATCAAAATAATCAAATATTTGGGGGAAAGCATATCTAGGTTTACATTATTAATAGATGATGCAAGAATACATTTTAAAGCAGCATAAATCACACATTAGCTCCATCCTTTCCAGTGGTGACCCGTCATTCAGGGCAGGTGGGGCAGAGCCCCACATTGTTAGCTAAAAATAAATAAAATACAAATGGTTTTTTTCTTATTTTTTTCTTGGCTTGCCTGTTTTGCATGTTATTTTGGCATTTATATGTGTTACATATCAGTTTACAAACAATGGAAAAAATAAATAAATAATATTCATTGAGTTAATAAAGCCACATACAAACATGGTCTCTTTTTTGCTTTCTTGAGTAAGGCAGCTCATGGGAACACTATGTCACCGCCAAGTCTAAGGGTAGAGCTCGAAAATTCAAGCCCCTTGGGTGCTGCCATAGAGTTACATTAGAAGTGCCCATCCAAGAAGGCTCAAGGTCATTGGCCACAGATAAAATGATGTCAAATCACATTATATCTACAGTAGCTTTGATTGAACTGATCATGTCAACATCATACTTTCAAAATCTTAGCTAGCAGTCATAATCATGAATCAAGTCGACAATCTACAGGCAAATACTTTTTAGTCCTTGTCATATGAAGATAAATAATGAAGAGAAATTATAGATAAAACATATCGGCCATTGGACATAAACATTGCACAACAAGTTGGAAATCGCAAATTCAACAATGAGTGGTTTGGAAGGAATCAGCATTGCAAAGCAATCACTAGCCTGCTATTCAGTGGAGTGGCTGTGTGGTCCCAAATCTGGGATTAAGGGTCTCTATTCCAAGTTTAAAATGATAAACATTT